TGTAGGCTGATTGGTCGGGGCTGGAGGTAGATTTCAGGTTGTTGAAAACGTGGGTAGATGAGATCACTCAGAGAATATAGGGTAAGAAGACAGCCAAGATAGAACCTTAAAGTACATCACCATTGGAAAAAAGATGAGTCATTAAGTTAAAGGCAGAAAGAAAGAGCATTTGGAAAGACAGAAAAACAAATGCGTGAAACCTAAGGGGTGTAACAGTGCTAAATGTTCCTGCAAATTCCTTTCATGCAGATTTAGCATGTTATTTCATAAATATTAATTTTAGTTTAAAAGCATGCTAAATTATTCCCCACCCTGGCCTCCCTCCTCCCAATTTTCAAGTTATATTTCCCCTCTAACTCTTCTTTACCTTTGGGATTCAGGCATACACCACTAATAAACCATCAGGAGCACGCTTACCGCCAGTGTGCGAGATGGTAGGCACGGGTTTCCACAGCCCTCTAAATGCGGACAGTGGCTGGCGTTCTGCCAGTGGCATTGGTAGTTTTGACTCAGCCCAAGGACTCCTACTGAGGTTTATTATGAACCAATTTTTTTTTTGAAGGGATGGGGAAGTGAGTATTTGAAAACTAAATGAATTTTTTCAATTATAGTACGTATTTCTGTCCATTTCCTTCATGAACTCTAGTTATGTCTGAAACATAGTTTAGGCAAAACATAGTTTAAGAAGAAATTTGAATGTACAGAATAGTTGAGTGGCAGTGAAAACCCATATATCCATTTAGATTTAAAAATTAAGATTTTTACCATACTTGCAAGTTTGTGGTACTCTGGCTTAGAGGTAGTTGGCATATTTAGGGAACAGAAAGGACCTCAGCGTGGCTGGACCTCTGTGCGAGCCTCTGTGGGCTGTGCGAGTTGGAGATGGGTAAAGCTATGGTAGGGAATTTGGATTTTACCATAAGGGCAATGAAAAGTTATTGAAGGGCCTTACTCAGTGAACTCTTGCTGTTATTGTTCCCTAGAATTCTCTCAAACACGTATGACAAAGGAAGAAAGTGGGAAATGAGAGTCAGGCAGGTGAAAGGTGTCTTGTAACCATCTTATCCTTTGTTTAACCATTGCTACTTCCAGCTTTGGCATCTTCATACTCTTGGGATTGTCAGTTCCAAAACTCAGACATGTACCTGGGTGTTTCACATCCTTCAAGGAGACAGAACCCTGTGAATAGTTCTGCTTGATGGTGGACCAGGCCCCTTTCAAGGCACCGTCTCCACTCCTGGGAGAAAGCAGTGTGGGCTGGAGAGTTCACTCTCAGTGGTGCCTTTGCTATCATTTGAGCACTGTTGGAAGGTCATGAGTTATTCTGTGAAGGGATTCACTTCTATTACTTGTAAGGACTGAAGTAAGGAGACTGAAGCTTCATGTTCAACCCTTAAACTAAGTTTGTATGTGGTTCCAAATCTTCGTGTGGATTTCAGGTTGTTCTTTATTGTCTCTAAACTTAGTGATTCATGAGATCTAGGTTAGTCATCCATATTTTTTTTAGCTGTGTGTGTGTGTGTGCACATGCACGTGTGTGTAACATTAAATAGCTTTCTTACTTATAGATCATGATCAAAGTTTGCTGGTTTTATTGGCTCTGACTTTGGAGATGAGTAAGATTAGTAAATTGGCAGCCTTACTTTTCTGTGTCATTCAGCCTTCCATGGAAATGTTTTATGAATAGTACTTTTTATGTATTAAGGATAGATTGTTTTATATTATTCATTGATTTCTTTACACTTAGTTTTTGTTTTTTTTTTTTTTGCGGTACGCAAGCATGTGGGGTCTTCCTGGACCGGGGCACGAACCCGTGTCCCCTGCATCGGCAGGCAGACTCCCAATCACTGTGCCGCCAGGGAAGCCCTACACTTAGTTTTATGTTTATCAAATTATACATGTGAAATTGAAGGACGCAAATAGTTACAAAAAGAGCTTGTAAGAAAAAATACCAGTTGCCCACTCTCTTCCTGCTCCCCAGAGGTACTCCCTCTTTTGATCAATTGTTTTGGGATCTTTCTCCCCATCTTTAATGAACATGCTTATATGACACATCCATGATTTCACCATATTATAACATTTGCCTCAATAGCTGCTTTTGTTTTCTTTATTAAAGTCAGGAACACGATAAATACTTAGTAGCTCTGTGCATATTAATCTAACATGTTTATTAAAACTTTTATTTCTTAACGCATTTCTCAGCCTTTTAGCAATCAATGTTCTAGGCACATGTATTGGCTACCTACTTGGTCATCACTTAGCAGCCATTCATGAATTTTAAACTTTTCTATGTTTTCAATTAATTATTTAAAAAGTTGGAACGCTGAGTGGCATACATTAGCATAAGCTTAATGCAAAGCAAACTTAGACATAAGAAATTCTAATGCAGAAGTTTTAAGGGGTATTATTTCCTTGTTTTTGGCCCCCCAAATCTGTCTTAGTTGTGTTGATCAAGAATTGGTGGATTTGAGGACGTAAATGAAAGAAATAAAAGGATTTGTTTAATTATTGCACTCAGGCTTTAAAGTAAGAACTATATGATATAGTTTTTATTTATACTTTTTTTTTTTTTTTGCGGTACGCGGGCCTCTCTCTGTTGTGGCCTCTCCCGTTGCGGAGCACAGGCTCCGGACGCGCAGGCTCAGCGGCCGTGGCTCACGGGCCCAGCGACTCCGCGGCATGTGGGATCCTCCTGGACTGGGGCACGAACCCGTGTCCCCTGCATCGGCAGGCGGACTCTCAACCACTGCGCCACCAGGGAAGCCCAAAGTATAGTTTTATTAGTTTATATGTTCTGTAGAATCTTGACTGCCCAGTGTATTAATTAAGAGGAATGATTGTGTCATGCTTCCCCTTTCCCTCAACAAAAGCATTTTATATATGTATTCTCTTCTGCAGCTGTACTCTTTTTGCTGTGGACCAATATTTGGTGTGTGGTAGGACTTTTTTTTTTTTGGTAGGACTTTTTAAAACCCCCTTTGCCCTGGGAAGTCACTTCTTCCGCTGTTGAGTCAGAGCTGAAAATATCTCTGTTGCATGGCACCCTAACATTTCCTGCAAAATTCCATTAAACATTCCCACCTTTTACCCAGCATTGACTTATAGATCACTGCTATTATTTGTGGAGTACAAACAGGGAAGATTATGGTTTCATAGGACTTATCGTGAGTGTGAATCCACTCTGTTTATAGAGAAGCAGGCTGCATTGCCCCCTACCCTTCTTCAAAAAAAATAAAATAATTTTAAATAAATAAATAAATAAAAAGAAAAAAGTAATGGAAAAGAATGATCCAGAATTTGGGTCCCATCTTGCCAGGTAATCAGAGAGAAAAATGTAACAGCCACCTGTAGTTGATCCAAACTTCTTGTCATAGAAAAAATATTTGGAAGTAAATTTAGAACCTGTGTTTGAGGACATTTCCCTTTGGTTAATGAAGATGTGGTTTTAATGTGATCAAAAGAGGATTTATAAGCTGACAGAAGGTGAACTATATAGGTGATATTTGGGTATAGAGATGGGTCAAAACATCATATCAAAGCATGTCAAGAAATAACATACTTGTTCATGATTTAGTTGTAAGCTTCTTGTTAGCATTCATTTGCACGTTCTTTTCCCCTAAATGTTTATTTGTAAACAGATATGCAGCTCACTGTATCTCATACTTTAGAGAAAAAGCATTCCAATACTTTCTTCCAGTGAAGTCTTAGGCATAGGTCAAAGGAAGTGTTATGATGCTGTTCAACAGAGATATTTTATGTTGATGGGGGAAAAAAACCAAAGTAGGGTTGAGGTATCTGAGACCCACCTCTCCCCACTTTGGCAGAGGTGGGCAGTGGGTGCCAGGGATGGTGAAATATAGGAGTTTGGAACTCACAGTTTGAAAATCACTCATCTAAGTGATCTATAAGGTTCTTCGGAAAAGTGTTGTCTTTTGGTATCTTATATGAGATTGTTTAATGCCTGTGAGTGTAAATTATTTTAGTTTATTTAGTGAAAGAAATTGTAACTTCTGACATGTTCCAAAGTTACTTTCATTGCTTATCTTGTTAACTTTGTTTTTTCATGGTGACCTTTTGGCATAGTTGATGTCCTCCTTTTGCATGATGTAATATTGTGGTTTATGTGGTTGAAATGTTGTTTTCTGCTACCTGCAAAATTTTAAGAACTTCCAGAAGTTCATTGTCCCCAGAATTTGTGCAGTGAATTCCTTCATGGGATATAGTCATATCCAGGCAGAAAAAGTACACGTTGAAACCGTCACTTAAAGAATTTGAGGATCTGATGGGAGATATGTCCAAGGCTCTGTCCAAGGTTCTCTCCAGCCCTGAGACCATAGGATTGACTGAAGAGGAGGAAGGGTGTACCCACAGGATGCTGAGGAAGCAGCATCAGCATGAACACTGGAAAAGGCGCATCTGGAGAGACCTAGAGAGTGGGTCTGTTGCTAGTGCTTTTTGGCTAAGCTCCTTGCCTAACTTTTTACCTCAGTTTCCTCAACTGTGAAACAGAGATATCTATTAATTGGAGGTATAGTGTGGTGATTAAGGACGCTTTGGATCAAGACAGACCTGAGCTGGTTTTACCCCTTAGTACCTTGAGGCAGTTTCTTAATGTTATTCAACTCATTCAGTGTTACCTGCAAATGGGAGTAGAATTAATGTCCTCGGGGAATTGTTTGAAAAGATCCCATAGATGATGGATTCAATTGCTTAATAGGGAGCCTGGCGGTGCTAGTTACCCTCCATCATCAGCACCATCATGTTCCTCCTCAAATGGGTGGTTAGGAGAGCAGGGGATTAAAAAGGTATTTTGAAAAGTACAAAGTGTTCTGTAATTTTATTATCATTTCTTATATATTTGTGGGTTTCCTAGTACTGATTTTGAAAGCGATATAAAGTAACTTTCTCAAACACTGTTTTTCTTCTCAGATTAGGGTTTAGAAAGTATGTCTTCTATCCACCTCACTTTTTCTCACTTGTACCATGTGCTGTGTCCCCAGGTGAAGCAGGCAGAGCGCAGTGAGGCACCGGTCGCTGCCGCCATGCCGTTCCCATTTGGAAAATCTCACAAATCTCCTGCAGACATCGTGAAGAACCTGAAGGAGAGCATGGCCGTGCTGGAAAAGCAAGACATCTCTGACAAAAAAGCGGAAAAGGTGTGTATTTGGCTTTATTTTATATTTTTAATCTTTTGATTAGGAGCGAATGTAAGACAAGTTATGAGGTGATTTCTAAAAATCAGTAAATCTCAATTTGGGTTTATTTGGGGTTTTTAAAATTTAGTCCTAAAGTGGCATTTGCTGGTGCTTAAACACCACGTGTTTTCTCCTGTACTGCCATCTAACAAATACATTTTTGACTTTTTTCTCAGTTTTTCATTTGAGGTTTTCAATTCTATTTAAATTTCGGGGTTTTTTTTTCATTGTTGATACAGTTTATCTCATTTCTGAAATCAGTGTTTCCACGGATAGTCCTCTTAGGGAGATAACCTCTCCTGATTTTCTTTTTGTGTTCTCTGTATCCATGACAAGTATCTTCTTCTACCCAGTCACCACAGGCCAAAACCTGACTTTCATACCAATCTGTCCCCCCCGCCAAAAAATAATCATCTTTCAATAAATAGTATGAACCCCTACTTCCTAAGGGGTTTATGAATTGGTCCCAACTTCCATTCCTACTTCACGAAAATCCTCATGACCTTTTTTATGGACCTTAGCAGTAGCCTCTTTAGGGCTCTTTCTGAAATATCTCCCCTGCTTTAAACCTTCAGTTCAGCCTTCTCACATAGTACACGAGACCCTTTGTGACCTGGCCTGTGCTTCTCTAGGTGAATTTCAACCCCTTTCTCCCTTTTTCTGTATGCTCTAACAATCTCAGCTTGTCTCTGTTCATTGAAAGCAATTAATAGCAAACAATTAGCCATACTGTCTTTGTCTTGTTTTCACCCCTGCACCATTTTCCCCTCAGCCCCCATTCATTTTTCAGAACCACCCAATTCATTTCTTTTTCCCGTATGGCTTCCCAGAATATTCCCTCTCCCGACCTTACCCTTACACTCTAAAATGAATCTACCATTTGGCCACCTCCTTTGGAAATGGCAGGAGTGCTGCCATCTTCAACATGAATTTATTTGTGTCATATTTTTTCTTCCTTACTAGACCTTGAGCTCTTTGACCCATGTGTCATTTCTGGCCCACCTGTGCCCTCCACAGTACCTGTCTCCCATGGGCTGGATGCCTGATGATTCACTGGATGAGTGTTTTGATTGGAACAGGATTTTCCATCCTATCTTTTATTTTAGCAGGTTGTTTTTTGTTTTGAGTTGACACTTAAACTGCTTAATTTCTACCATCTTTTTAAGTCTAAGACTGTGGTTTACCTGTATTCTTATAAAGAAAGGAATTTCACGCTCGTGGGATTAAGATTTGTAATTATAGGCTATTTAGTTGTATCTTTCTGTCACTGGAAGCAATCTACAATTAGTGAAATTTTCTATAATTCAATTTTACTTTAGATCTTCCATGGAAATTCTAGACAGTTTCTTGCGTACCTTAGTAAGAGATGTAGATAAATGTTAATAATATGATGAAACTAACTTCTTTTAAAGATGGCTGTTATGTTATTTTGGTTGAAGTATATGAAGAAAATCTGGCCTCATACAGATGCATAATTGGAAAAGAGAGGAGTATTTTAATAGCCTTTCAGATAATGTTGAATATTTTTTGATACCACAGCAAAATTCAACAGTTGATAGTTTCTTGGTTGTAATAGACTCAAACTGTATAAATGAACTTTTCGTACTCAGTACTTTGAAAAGGTCCTTTATCCATGCATGACTTTGTAACATGCACTGGTCATTTAGAAAATATTGGATCACTGAGTTACATGCATCTTCCAAACGTTGACACATTATTCAGTATCAAAAATTCACATTTTAAAATACCACCACTGTGATCTCATCAGAAAAGTATAAGTTTTGGAAAGTGGTCAAACTTACTCATGTTGTATTCAAATTTCAAAATTCCAATCTGGCAACAAATACTGTTCGTTGGTTGTTTTCCTTAAGGATACAGGTTCACTTGGTTTATTTTTGAGAAAATGTCTGCCAAACATACAAGCCGGAATAATTTGTCCGTTTTTCTTTCAAGGAAAAGTGATGTTCCATAAAGAAAATAGTTTGTTCAGCTCATAGCTCAAACATTATCATACAAGTACTTTTCTTCAAGACAAGCAGTCTTCAGTAAGGGGCAGAAGGTGCTTTATGTGTACTTCCTATTTATCACACCAAGTGTTAAAAAGTTGTATGTATACTCAGGTCAAAATTTAATAAAATGAATTTTTTTCCTGCTTTCTCATGACACTCTTAAGTGAAACAGTTTTTTGAAGCTGAGTGCGTGATGATGAAAACTACAACGATAACTACTACAGTTTGTTGTCACTGCCTTGACTTAGGCTAGAGGTCAACACCATCAGTGCAAATGGCAACGGTGGAAAAAGGCAAATTATGTGTTTACATTGATATGAAAGCAGTTTTGACCTCATGGACCCCTTGAAAGGGTCTCAGGGAACCTTTTTTGGTAACACAGAGGTTGAGAATTCTTGCTCTAAACATAAGCAAGAATAGACCTCCTGCTAAATAAAGCAAAGAAAATTAGTTAAATTTATGAAAAATAAATTTTATTTCAAAGGAAGGGGACAACTCTGAAGATTGAGGAGCAATCAGTGCAAATTACTTTCCTGAAATAGATTAGAAATAGGGAGGAAAACCCTGAACTTTCTGATTTCACTGTCTTATCAAGATTCAGAAGGAAATAGCACTAATGCAAATGGTGAAGAGGGAATGAGACCTGAAAACAATGGAGAGATGAAAATACAACCTCTAAATTAAAAACCACGAAAAGCAACTTCGACATCATACTTAAGACTGAAAACTTGAATGTAGTCCCATTAAAACCAGGGTGCTTGCTATGACTTTTTATCTAGAGTTGCTCTGGAAATTCTAGGCAACGCATAAAGAAACAGTTTAGAAATACAAAACACAGCTATTTAAAATAAAGAGGGGAAATTACAATGTTGAGATATTCATATATCTTTACAAAACACAAGAGAATCAGTGTGAAAATGAGAGTTGACTAGGGCAGCTAAATACAAAATGCATAGCTTCCCTAAATACCATCAAAACGATCTAGAAATTGTAATTTTTTTTAAAAAAGTATTTTATTTACAGTAGGAACAACAAAAAAATAAGGTGTCTGGGAATACTTTCATCAGGAAGTATGCAGAACCTATATGAAGAGAACTATAAAACCTTATTCAGAGGTACAAAAGAATACTTGGTCCATGTTATTGGATGGAATATAGTTAAGATGCCATTTCTTATCAAATTAATTTTTAAGCTTAAAGCAGTTCCATTCACATCACAGCAGGATCTTTTTGTACCCTGACAAAAAATGATTCTGAAGTTGTGGAAGAGTTAATAAAGTAGCTACAAAGTTGTGCTGGAATTTAAGGAATATGAATTCTACTTTGTTTTGAAGCAAAACACACATTTTACACATCCACTCACAGTCTTTCCAATCATGGTTAATGATACGCCATCCTTCTAGTTGTTCAGGCCAAAAGTCTTGAGTCATCCATGACTCCTTTCACACTTTCCAGATCCAATTCATGAGCAAATACATCCACTTTATTGCGGGGGGGAAGGGGGGTGTTAAAAAGCCAGACTCTAATGACCACTTCACCCCGTTTTCTTAGTCACTACCTGGGTCTGAGCTACCATTATCTTTGCTCCGGATTACTGTAGTATTCTTCTAACTGGTCTCCCTTGCCTTTCCACAACCATAGTGATTCTTTCAAAACATGAGTCAAATAATATTTCCCTTAGAGTAAAAGTCAGAATCCTTACAAGGGCTGAACTAAGTTCTACAGGTCAAATCCTGCCTAGGCCTGTTTTTGTAAGGCTCATGAGCTAAGAATGGTTTTTACATTTCTAAAGGGTTGGTTTAAAAAGCAAAGATTATGCAACAGAGACTTTATGTGGCCTATAAAGCTTAAAATATTTCCTGTCTGGTGCTTTTACCAAAAAATAAATGCCCACCCTTGCCCTGGTCAGTCAGGCCCGTGACCTCAATGGTCCCTTCTCCTAGTATTCCCCCCACATTGGCTTGCTTTTCCTTGTGTACTTCAGTCACACTCCTGCCTTATGGCTTTTGCATTGGGCTGTCCCCTTTACCTAGAATGTTCTTTCTCCAACTCTCTGCTTGGCTAACTCCCTTATTGCCTTCAAGTCTTTGCTTAAATGTCACTTTTCACCCAACCCCCTATTTAAAATGCAGCCTAGTCCCCGGCATTCCTGTTCCCCCGGTCTTGCTCTGGTTTTCTGTGTATCACTTAACACCTTTAATATACTTAATGATTTTTTTTTGTTGTTTTTACTAGTTCTTCCCTCTGTTAGAACATAAGCCTTCCAAAGACAGCTCAATAATTATTTTTTATTTATTGAAAATGGAATACAGAGTTAACATAGTTCTGTCAAGGTAACTCTTCTAAACTCTTAATTCTACTGAATAGGATAAAACATGTATTACTGAGAATGTTGTAATAATTTGTATGTTGAGTTTATGACCAATAAGAGGGTATCCCAGCCAGATATCTTCTGAACTTTATGATGGTGACCAAGTATCACATTCCCTTGTAGTGCTACCACCCACAGAAATAGTGAGATAAATGACCCTTCTCAAGAGATCTACCCTGTTGGTCCTAGTATCTTCCATATAGTTTTGTGTTTATTAATTATCTTCCCCTGTAATTCAGGATGCTTAGTGGACACTTTTCCTGATTGGATGAATAATTATACCCAGTGGATCTGATTAGTGGATAACTCTGAGCACCTAGGCAGGGTTTTGGTGATCTGTTGCAGGATACTGTCCCCAACTTTGAACTTTTAATAACATTTATTGTCACTGATTTATCTGAGGAGAATTAAAAGGTTTAATTAGCGGAGCTTGTGAATGATAAAAATTGGAGAAGGATAGGAAACTCTATAGGTGACTAAATCAGGCACCAAAGAAGGGTCAATGAGCTGGGGGTAGTGGGGCAGGAGTTGGAGGAAGGACATGATTGTAACTGATAAAATGCAGTACAGATGAAAGTATAG